TTAAACATTCAAAACTACTTTGACGAACTTGAAAATCTACATGATGAAGCTGCTAATTTAATCAAGAGGATTAAAGAGTTAGGATTTGATGAAGTTGACAACTATTTATTCAATGTACGTTTCTCCCCAGACAGACAAATAAAAGAGATCCTAAGACGAAAGATGCCTTCTAAATACCATTTAAGCTATCCTTTGGTTTGTCAACTAAATGAAATTGACCTCCTCAGAGTTCAGTATGAAGATATAATCATCAGGATGCAACTTGATTTACCTGTCAATAGACAAGTCTGTCTCAATTAAATTTCTAGTTATCTATTTCCTTTCAAAGATCTTTTTATAAAATAATTAATTTCCTTTTTGTTTACACCCTTTAAAATAAATTTTTTTCACACAGACAATTGCTTTATCTATTTTATTATATAAATCTATGAGTAATGTATTAAAATTGAGTTAGTTAGTTTTAAAGCTTGACTGAAGCACATTCATCTTTGTTACAGTGAAAATCTTAAGCTATAAAATTAGAAGCTTGACTCAAGCACATTCATATTACCTTAGCTGCAGTAAAATTTTTTATATATCAACATGGACAATTCTGAATCTGTAAGTTCTTGATTAATGTATTTATTGTGTTTCATTTGAACTTAACTTTTTGTTTTATAGAATGTTACCTGCGACTGTTGTCTAGTGGTTTTCGATAGCTTCATCAACTTCTTGACACATAACTGCTCTTGTCTTCGGCCTGATTGTTCAATGATGGAATGGTTAAGAGATTTTAAACCCATCCCTGATCAACAATTGACAAAGTGTCCATCGTGTGAACATGACTATCATGACTTGGAAGATTATCTTCAACACTCATGTAATAGACCAGGCCAAGAAAGTACAGACATCATTACTGAAGCAATGGCCAATCAAAAAAGTTCTACAAATGAAGTGCCAGATTATGGACATTCATCAAGCGTTCAACCTGAGGCTGGTGTTGGAATCGAAAGCATAGCATCAACAAGCGGCTTCATACCACCAAATAGAATGCAGAAGCGACAAATTCACAATCCAGACAACGAGGATAAAGACAAAGAAGAAGAAGAAAAAGAAGAAGAAGAAGAAGAAGAAGAAGTAAACAGTGCCAGACCATCAAAGAGAAGGAAAAGTTTTTATTGTAAGACGTGCAAAAAAGGAATAAGCACAAGTGAACGTTTTGTGAAACATTCAAGTGTTTGTGGGCTGTTTTCTACTGCACCAAAAAAAGCTGATAAAACTGTTATTGCGAATTTCATTTTAACAAAAGAAGCTTTCCAGAAAAAATATCGACTTTACCAACGTGAGCTTCACAATTGTTTCACTTTGGATCAAGTTGGACAGGTTTTGATGAGTGATTTGTGCAGACTAATTACATCAATTTCAGAAGAGCTTGGGCCTATCAAAATTGCATTCAATATCAACATCATCTTTGAGAAGCCAGTCACGAGTGAAGCTGTTGAAACACACATACATTCAATCTTCAAGAAACATCATCAAGCTGATGATATAGACGATTTGGTTGAAGAATCTTTTTCTGAAATTCAATCAATAATTGATAATTATACAGAAAAAGGTAGCGGCTTTATTGTAGTTGTAATTAAAAGCATGGAAATATATATCGCACAGTATCAACCACACCATGGAGGTTGCGGTGTAAACAAATTACCAGTTCAACTAGCTCGCAAAAATTGTTTGGTCACTGTCAATTGTTCTCATGATTGTTTCATGTATGCTGTCCTAGCAGGAGTATATGGCCAAGGGCGAAATCTACAGAGAGTCAATCAATACAATAAATATTTGAAAAGTCACAATTTTTCGAATTGGCGTGGTGAGGTTTCAATCGAGCAGATAAACTCATTTGAGAAAGCAAATTCAATTTCAATAAGCGTCTTCTCATACAACTTGGAGAAAAAGTATGTCGTTCCTTTGCGTGTCCCTGACGTTACACTTCCCCATCACGTAAAATTATTTCTGCATGATAATCACTACTATTTGATATCAAGCTTCAGAAGACTCTTGAATAGTCGTTCATGTTACCGTCGCTATCACTGCGAAAGATGCCTTCACGGCTTTCGAACTAAAGGTAGACTGGCCAACCACTTGGAAGATTGTAAAAACAGGCCTATTCAGAAAGTGATAATGCCTTCATTTTCTAGAGGTGCAGATCGAAAAGAAAGAAATAATTTGATACGCAGAAATTTAAAAAAAGAAGCAAAGCATCCTTTTGTCATCTATGCAGATTTTGAATGCATATCAGAGGCAACTGATAGTCCCGTTAGAGTCAGAAAACATGTGCCTACAAGTTTTGGTTATTGTGTCGTAGACTGGAAAAAAACTATCATTAGAAGTGACTTTGGGCATGGTGAGAATGTGGTTGCGGAATTTTACAAAAGTCTAATAAAAACCGAAGAATGGCTGAAATGTTACTTGAAAGTTCACGGTCAGAAGATGCTCAAGATGAATTCTGCTATAGAATTCGATTTTGAGAACGCCAAAGAATGTTGGATTTGCAGAAAAGAGCTATTGAATGATCGAGTTAAAGATCACTGCCATTTGACTGGAAAATATAGAGGAGCTGCCCACAACGAATGCAATTTGTTTTACAATCAACCCAAGAGAATACCAGTACTATTCCATAACCTAAAGAATTATGATGGTCATTTGTTGATAGAAGGTATAAATGCAAAGATATTCAATACTGAAATCAATTTGATCGCTCAAACTATGGAGAAATATATTGGATGGTTTTCTGGTAATTTTGCCTTTCTTGACTCTTTTGCCTTCCTGCCTGCGAGTTTAAATACATTGTCAAATGACTTAAGTCAGGAAGAAAAGTATGATATGTTACGTCAGCATTGGAAAATAGAGGATTTAAGTGATTTATGCGGTAAAGCTGCTCTTCCCTATGAGTATCTGGACTCATATGAAAAGTATGACGAAGAAAAACTACCGCCGATAGAATGTTTTTACTCATCACTTACAGATTCAAATATAACTGATGAAATGTATCATCGACTTGAAAGAATCTGGAAACAATTTGACTGTCGAACAATGAAGGACCTGATAGATATTTATCTTAAACTTGATGTTTACATGCTTGCTGCAGTCTTTGAAAACTTCAGAGAAACAAGTATCAAGGATTTCGGCATTGATCCACCACATTACATGTCAGTCCCTGGACTATCTATCAACTCAGCGGTGAAAATGTTAGGTATTGATCTTGAGCTTTTCATTGAGATAGACATGTATTTGATGATAGAGAATGGAATACGTGGAGGATTTACAACTACAGTGAAAAGACATGCAGTAGCTGAAAACTCTGAAACCTCAGCAAACATCTCACCAGAACAAGAAACTTGGCTTCTTTATTTGGATGTCAATAATCTTTATGGTCATGCGATGATGCAAATGTTGCCTATTGGTGATTATAATTGGATTCGTAAAATAAATTTTGTAAATATTATGGCAACATCTGATGAAGCTGATAAAGGTTATATTCTAGAAGTAGACCTAGAATACCCGAAAGAGCTTCATGACAGCCATAATGATTTTCCTCTGGCGCCTCATAAAATGGTTATTACTCATGATATGTTAAGCCCATTTGCGAAGAATCTCCTTGACAAGATGGACTATAAACATATTCCCACTGAAAAATTGGTTGCAAGCTTCTTCGATCGCAAGAATTATGTTGTTCACTACCGTGTACTGAAATACTACATTGCTATGGGCCTAAAAGTTACCCACGTACATCGAGCAATCTCATTCAGGCAAAAGAGATGGTTGAAATCTTATATCGAATTTTGTACGAAAAAGCGACAACAAGCATCTTCACCTTTCATTTCATCGCTATACAAACTTTTTGTGAATAGCAACTACGGTAAATTGATGGAAGATAAAAGAAAAAGGGTGAAGGTTGACCTAGTGATGAAGGATGCAATGGCCGCTCGTCGAGTAAGAGACAACTTTTGCAAATCAATGAGAAAATTGGCTGTTTAAAAGATGAAATGAGTGGTGAAGTGATTGATGAAGTGATTGCAATAAGACCAAAGCTCGTTTCACAGTTCTTGAGTTGGCAAAATTGCATGTTTACAATTTGTATTATGGAGTGCTTAAAGCTCATTATCAAGAAAACGTTTGAGGATTACCGCGCTTCACTATTCAATAATGGAGTAATCAAAGCTAAGACACGTCGTCTTGGTTCTGAATCACACACAATTTACCAATATGTTAATGAAAAAATAGCTCTGTCTCCTTTTGAAGATAAGCGGTATTTGCTTGATTCTGTAAATTCATTAGCATATGGTCATTACAAAATTGAATAAAAATAAATAAAGATCCGATTATCTCATGATTCTCGCGAAATAAATGATATTTTTGATCTCGCGAGTCCTCTGTGATATATGAGTTCAACTATTTCGCGAAATAAACGATATCATCAAATTCGCGAAATCACGCTGAAAAAAGAATGCACAGTTTCGCGAGAACCGCCCCGCGCGATTTGTGTATGTGTGTGTAGGTGATAATTAGCTTCACTTTTTTGCTTATTTCAAATTTTGTTTTATTTTTTTATATAATAACATTTCATTTTTCAAATGATTACATTTACTTTTGTCAAAAAACTTGAAGAAATCTTTCTTACGAGGTGTAGAAACGAATAGTATGCAATAGTAGCCACAAGCAAATGAATCATTAGCTTGATATTTTATTCGCGAATACTCAAATCGCTTGCTATTTCTCTCAATAAAATTAGTAATTAAATCAGATGGTGGTCGACCAAATGAGTCAAAATAAATTGCACTGTTTTTCCCAAAATGTACTGCTACCCAATGTGAACCTTCTTTATAACTGGGGTCAAGATTGATTATAAAATCTTTAGGCTTTGTAAAAGTTATGGGTAATTTATCGATTGCATAAACTCCACCAAAATATTTCACCTTACCCCTTAACATTAATTCAATTTCAATTGAAGTTAGCATAACTTAATAATCAATCGTTACAGTTCGCTCTTTATCAATTGTGATAAGGTTATCAAACTGTCCCAGGACAACAATTTTAACCTGACTTTCCAATGTTTCCGCAAATCTTATCTCCAGTCTGATTGTCCCCCGTCTAAGGAGATTTAGAGTGCCTGTTTCACCTCCTAACGTACCATCACCACTCAAATCAAAAGCATACAAGCAATGACTCAAAGAATATCTATCATAATCTATGTTGAGCTGAGGGATACCTTCATCTTGTCCTGTATATCTGTACAAGTTGATAAATTCACGCATGTAAATATTATTTTCATAATCTGGCTGGTAGGGTATAGTTGGAATACAATTTCCATCAACATTCAATGCAAGGTGTGAAACACCATAGTTCTTAAATAAAAATGGATTAGACTTTCGATCGCCTGCGAAACTCGATTCATCGACGAGTCCTAAAATGATTCTTTTAGGTAGAATTCCTGTGAACAGATTTTCAATAGTTGTCATATTTATTCCTTTAGTTAGAGTAAAATTTTTCATTTCATTTCTTATAACAAAATATTTTGCACTAGACTTTGACAATGTATTCAATAGACTGGACATTGCATCAGGAAATAATTTCACTCTCTTGATGTGCAGTGCTAAACTTTCTATTTTCGCTTTGTATGTATTAGTGTCTGCAACTGTAGAGGCCCAAACAGGGAAAGTAGGTGTGCTTCGAGTGAATTTGAAAACCATTGGTACCCCATTAATCAGAAGTCGATCTTGTTGACAAATTGGAAGATGTAATCTAAAGTACAAGTCATAGACGCGATTCGGAACTACAAAACTTCCTTCTTTCTTGCTGTAATTTCCTTGATCAATTTGACTTGGAAATCTGAAAAGTATTTCTTCAAGGAATGCTTGATAATGGTACATGTTTGAAGCTTGTGACAAATTTACACCATTTAGAAATAAATCTATTTGCTCGAAAAGAGCATTACCAAAATTTTTAGCCATTTCAGCTTGCAGTGAATGTTTAGTTGCCTCTCCTGTATCATCTGTTACAATTACTTTTAAGTGTAACATGGTTGCTGATAAATCAGTTAAATCTTCTGATGGTGGTACAATAATATCATGGACTTGACTACTTTGTAAACTTGCAGATGGTCTGTATTCCACCTCATATCTAGATTCAATAGCAACTTGAGTTGTAGGTATACTGAAAATATTTAGTTCACTTTTACTGGATGGTGCTGATTCAACATGAAGGTATTCCATTATTAAAAAATATCACTAGTTCTCTTCTTTCGTGATTTATATTTTCTCGCAGAAGACAAAGATTTCTTTTTAACTCTACGTTTTCCTCTCTTTACCTTCTTCTTCTTCTTCTTATTCTTCTTCTTATACAACCTCTTACGTCTTCTTAATCCTGAACCTCTCTGTTGTAGCATACTATTCACTTTATTCATTGACTCAGACGCGACATTTTTCAGTGACTCAGTAGCTCGGCTTTTCAACGAATCTTTAAAACGTTTCTTTTCAAGCACATCTGATCCAACAGCAACACCTGTTTTTAGTGCATGTTTACCTAAAAATTTCAATATTGGAATACCGAACCTACCAATCAAACTACCTATTCCATAACCACGTTGATAGGGAGAGCCTCTAAACACGTCAATATCACCAAAACCTGAACCAATTTGGTGGTTGAAAAATTTTTGCAAGTCAGAATCACAAGCACAATAAGTTTTTCTCTGCATGTTAATATTTTAAAAACAATTTATTGATTACTTCTTATACAACTTTTTTTAAATGCAACCCAATCAAAACTCTTCCAGAATTAAATTTAACAGCATCACCAGTCTCATCAGACAGAATGAAATTTATTTGCTCAATGCGGTTAGACCTGATTGGATAATAGAATGGTTTCATGAATCTTTCATGAACCAGTTCATTGTTGTCACTTTGTCGTATTGGTAACACTCTCAATACTCTTGAAGATTTGTCCCCAACAAAGTGCTCTGCAACAATATCTGAGTAAACAAACATTAGATGTGCTTTCAAATCAAAAACTGCTTTTTTACTTGCTTTAATGCAAGTGTCTGTAGTCATGAGGCGAGCAATGTCAGATTGAAAAGAATAAATATCAAAACCCAGAGACTGTAGAAATGCTGGATCTGTGAAATATGGTATTAAAATCTTTTTCTTCGAATATCCTCTCCTTATTTTAACAATACTTTCACTGTCTATTTCAATCACTGGAATCTGATCTTCTTCATCTACTTCAATGTCATAATTTACTTGTGGCTTGAATTTGTACAAATCTTGCTTCACTTCATGCATTTCTTTGACTAACTCTTCTCTAGCCGATTGCTGTTTTTCAACTTCTTGTTTCAAATTTGCCAGCTGAGTTTCTAATTTTAACTGTTTTTCTTGCAGAGTTCTATTTGTAGATTCAATTGCAATTTTCTCATGATTAATTTCAGCTAATTTAGTTTTCAATTTCTGTATTTGCTCCATTGGAAGTCTCATCTCTAATTCAATATTCATTCTCTCAATAGTATCAGTCAAAGCTTTTTTATCAGCTTCAAACTGTTTCAGTTGTCGTTGATGCTCTTTTTCTTTATCTTGAAAAATCATCATTTCTCTGTCGAAATTCTGTTTTGCTGCATCCATTTCCTTTTTGATTGCCAAAATTTCAGCATCCTTTTCTTTTTTCAGGCTTATTATCCTCTGTTCCTGTTTTGCTTTCATTTCAGGTGATTTTAAGCTTTGTAATTCTGATTGGAGCTTTTGCATTTCCTGTACTGTCTCTTGCAGTCTTTTTTCATAATGAACATTCCATTCTTTCAAATTCGAATCATATTCAACTTTCGTTTTTGAACAAGCAATTTGCAAATTTGCAACGTCTTTTGTCTTGTCATTTATTTGCTGTTGCAGTTTAGCAGCATTGGCCTTTTCATGTTCTATTGCGTCTTTCAGCTTAACTATTTCCTTTTCATTATCCTTTTTTGCTTTTAAATCTAATTCTTGTTCTTTGGTCAGTTGAGCTTTAAATTGATTAAGCTGATTAGTTATTGTAGCATTTACATTTTCAAGCTCTTTATATCCTGCTTCTATTTTGCTTTTCTCGCCGATTATTTCAGTCAAGTTAGATGTAAGTTTGTTTAACTCTTCCACAGGTACTTTCGACTTTACATCTTCTTTCAATTTTTCAATAGTTGCATCAAGCGTTTCTTGAGTCCTTTTCAATTGTTGCAATTGCTGTTGACACAATTTCTCTTTACTTTGAAATTCCTCTTTCTCTTTTGTAAATTGTTCTTGCTCTTTCTCACGTTCTTTTCTGTAAGCATCCATCTCCTCATCTTGCTTCTCTTTCATTCTTGTAAATTCATTAGCTATTTCTTCATCTGATTTTGCATTGTTCAACTTTGCCTCTAACTCCTTCATCTTCTCATCTGACAATTGTGATTTTGCTTTCACTTTGTCTAAGTATCTGCGCCAAAATATTTTGCTATCCTGTTCGTCTTTTATTACTTTGATTGTTATGTCTTTCAATTGTTGTTGAATATTTTGCAGTTCAATATTTTTATCTTTAATCTTGTTCTCAAGATCTCTTGATGCACTTTTCTCTTTTTCAATTTTTTCTTTAAGTTGTTGTATTAAAGGATTATTTTCAAGCATAAGATTCTTTTCTTTCAGTGCATTGATTTGTTCTAGATAACCTGTAAGACTATTTTGAAAATCTATCTTTTGTTTTTCAAATTCTTTAGCTACCTCCTTTTGAGAGGTCTTTTCATCATTCAGTTTCTTAAGATGTTGTTCTGCTAATTTGACATGTTCGCTCAAAGTATTTATTTTCTTGTCTTTTTCCTCAACTTGATTGGTTAATTTAGTGATTCTTGCTATCAGTCCAGTAAATGCTGAGGATCCTTTATGCATCATTTCACCTAGATGATGTATTTTTTCTTGATCACTCAATTGCATCACGTTTGTAGCTAGTAAATTGTGAAAAGCTTGCAAGGTGTCACGTTTGACCTTTTTCGATGCGGTAGAGGCATAAGCTGCTTTGATCGCATTATTAATTTTCTTAATGACGGTATTCAAATCATCTGTTGCTTTAAGAGTAAACTCAACAGCCATTGTTTTACTTGAGTTGCTTGATAGCAGTTGTAATGAAGTAGTTCTGGCTGTGACGCTTATGTCTGTTGGATAAAAAATTTCTTGTATTCCAACGACCCATTCACCAACTAAATCGATTGGTCTTGATAGTTTATTTGAAAATTTAGAAAGAGTGTTTTCAGGAAAAATTTCCATCGATGAATTAGAAACGACTTCAATGAAATATTCTTCAGGTTGATTCCACATTTTGTATCCAACAGTTAAACTTCTTAGGATATCCTTGCCACTTAACGAAATACTCTTTCTTTTTTGTTAATGGGTTAGTTCTAGTTCTCAAAATCTTCTCGATCTTATACAACCTTTCTTCATTAGCATGCAATAGCTCATTATGGTAAAATATTGAGGTGATTTCTTCACCGCCATAATCTTGCAACCGATAAACATATCCTTGCTGAGTTTTCTTAGCTTTGATCACAGTAAATATCTCTTCGGTAAAATTACTAGTTGCTCCCTTCTCAAAAATACTTTTAGCTCTACTTATATGCACCTTATCTCCTACAGAAAATGGTTTATACTTAATGCTAACTTTAGGGTGGTTTTTTCTTATATTGTTAAGCACCATCGAACTATTTTCCGTATTAACATGAGATGGCGACATTCCTATTGTCCTGTGAAATGAATTATTGTACGACTCTACTATGTCTTGAAGCACATTGATATATCTTTTAGTAGAGTTGTGTGATAAAAAACGATAAATGCGGTTTCGCAAAGTTCTATTAAATCGTTCAACAATTGCACACTTGATAATATCATCTGTTGAGGTGAAATAATTGATTTTATATTTTTTCATAATAGCTATAAATTTACTGTTTTTAAACTCTTTTCCCTGATCACTTTGTATTTTTTCAGGTATTTCTTGCGTTGTAAGTAGTTTAGAAATTGCATTCGCTATAGTTTCTGAAGATTTGTCTTTAATTGGTATAACCCACACAAAACGACTGAAGCAATCAATTATATTAAATAGATATCGATATCCATCATTTTCCGATGACAGCCAAGTCATGTCCATTAAATCGATTTGCCATTGTTCATTTTGACGATTCACTAAGATTGGTAATCTAACAAATCTTTTGTTAACTTGCTTAAATAAAGCATACGTGTCTTGTTGATCAAGCCACTTTTGAATTTCACTATACTTCACGTCTGGCACATGCTGTTTTACTGCATTATAAAGTCTTTTAACTCCTCCAAACGAACCTACATTTTTCGGTGAGTAATATTCTCTTTCGAAAATTTGCTTGCGCTCAACCATGATAAGTCTGTATTTTTCAATCGATCTAAAGCATCAGGGTTCTTAATTAAGTGTTTTACATGTAACTCACTTTCCTTGATATATTGAATGACTGCAGTTGTTCCGTTAGGAGCTTTTCCTTTCCAATTCCTATCAGACAAATAATCAACTACCTTTTCGATATCACTACCTTTTACTTTCACACCCTGATCAATGATTTTATTGTCAGACGCTACGATGTATTGGTCCGACTTTAGTTTCAACAATAATGAAATTGGTCTTTTCTCATTTTTTCCCGTATCTCTATGACTAGATGTAGTCGGCACAACAATGCTGTTAGATGTTGCCTTATTTCCAGAAGTTTCTTCTTTTTGTCGATGCATTGCATCAACAGTTGAATGATAAGATTCTTCAGAGTCAGATCCAACTACGGTTTCACCATCATCTTCATCATCATCATCATCATCATTATTATTATTATTTGAAGCAGCATTGCTATCACTGACTAACTGGTCATGATACAGAAAATTTTTTGTTTCGTTCTGAGGTTTAAAAGATTGTCCTTCTTCTTTCAATGATTTTAATAATTTATAACGCTTTTCGATCCTTTCTTTCAATTTTCTTTCAATTTTCTTCTTTTTAGCAGCCTTTTTAGTTTCGTTTTTCATCAGTAACTGATTCATCAAGCGAACTTTGATATCTGATGGTAGGGCTGAATCCATGATGGGGTTATATTCTGTGTTAACATTTTGATTGATTCGATGTTGTTCTTCAGGTACTAAAACCATTCTTGTTACAGTATTCATTTTACTAACTGATTAGCTACCAAATTAGCTAAAATGGAAATTGCTGGTACTAAAAGACCGGGAAGTAGACCGCCTTTTTGAATGAGAATTTTTTTGGCTCTATTTGGAGGCAGTTTGCCAGCAATTTTTCTCAATTCTTGCTTGAATTTTCTAAGCTTTTGTTTTTGTTTTGGAGTTAAATGGATATGACCTTTCAAAGTATTTTTCGCGATCCCTTTTATCACTTTTATCACATTACAAGGGCATGATTTCAATAATTTTTGTCTGGAAGATTTGTGTTTTGTTTTACTTAACTTTCGAAGTAAAGGTAAAACGTTTATTGCTTGTGATACAGACATTTTACAGATCTGCTAAATCAGTTTTCTTATATAATCAAATTTGATACGCGTAAAAAATTCCATTTTCTCCTAATACATTTGTTAGTAATCTTACTTCCTCAGGAGTATCTGACTTCAAGTCGATGAATAAATATGAATAGGGCTTACTTGTTGCATGCTCATAAATATTACGAAATTTGGAAATTTTATTCGGAAACATTTGTCTGGCTAACATCGATGCAATTGATTTATCTCTAGGATTTTTAAATAGCACAATGTAATGTGAATTTAGTGAAATGTTTCTACTCTCTATTCCTTTCATGAAAAAATTTTGAGTAATAAGAATCACAGATAGATTCCTGTGATGACTACCTTTAGTAAATAACTGTGAGATTATTTTGGAAGATGCTGATTCAGCCATCAAATCATCTATTATGATTAACTTTGCATGTTTTCCATCCATTTTTTCCATCATCGCTTCAGGTAATCCTGCCACGAATGAAACTTTCTTCATATCATTGAATATTGGCTGATACTCTGAGTAGAAATATGTAATCTCCTCTGGACTAGGTTTTATGAAAATTTCAGGATGATTCAACAATTTTCGAATCCAATACGTTTTGCCGCAACCACTAGGTCCAGCAATTAACATGGTAAAAGGATGCTTTAAATAAATATCAAACATTTTTCCCATGTAAATGCAAGCAAATTTCTTATACAAAAAATGATCACTAAGAATAATATACTCAATCTCATTGCAGATTATGTGAAAATCTAAAGAACCTCATTAAATCATAATGACTAAGTTATCAAATCTGATCTAGTAAACTGTATTTGTCAATTATTTATAATCAAAGTTAGCTAAATTTGTTCACATAAATTTGAAAACTGTTAAAACACCAGAGTTAAAATTTGCTATCTGTAAAAATTGTAAACGCGTTTTATGCAGAAAGAAGTTTTTATTATAATTTCAAATACCCCAAATCAAAGGTTACAAATCCCAAATGTTAAAAATCAATATACGAGAACTTGCTCTACTCCAGATCAAGTAGATTACCATTTAAAATCATTCTGGACACGATCAAACATACTCCTGACTGTTGAAAGAGCGCAACAGTAATTAAATTTCTCAGGTTTCGGTTGAGGTTTGTGGAGGTGACAATATCTGGACTTGCCGGCCAGATTAACTTTGATGTGGGGAATCTTGCAATCGCTCAGGGTCTTCATGGATTCCTTTGTGTGGTATCCAATCAGAAATTTGTTGCCACATCGATTCAATTCGTAGTATTCCTTGAGCAAATCCTCCACCTCTGCTAAATGAAGATCCCCGGGTTGCGGTCTGAAGTCGATCCCCAATCCACCTTCGGCAAAAATTCCAACACCCCAACGATCACTTGAAGGGATATCTAATACACAAAAACCATGTTCAATCAAACCATGTTGAGTATGATTGCTGTCAATCAAAGCATATTCCCTGGGAACAAAATGTTGATCATGGTCGTAGAGATGAAATCCTCGTATGTCAAAGAAAGCAACTATATTTTGTGTTGACATGATGATTAAAAGGAAACTCAATATTGGAAACAGATAGAAACAGAAAGCAAGAGAGACAGAAATTTAAAAGATTAAATTGAAGAAAGCAAAAACTTAAAATATTGATAGAGAGTAAAGAGTAAAATAAAAGAGATCAGTTGAATATTTTAAAGTTGTGTGATTGAAAGGGAAAAAAGAAATCAAATTAAATAGTCTTTTTGATGAAGAGAGTTAGGGAGCGAAGAATGGTGGCGTTATCTTTTAGCATATCCTGCAGATTTTTGGTGAATTTACCGGATAACCTATCCATAAAATCTTGTTTTTTCGCTGCTAGACTTTCAATTTTCCCAAAATGAGCTTGATATCTCTCATAGACGATTTGCCATTCTGTCATATCATAGATAACGGCTGGGCCTGGAGGATCCATATTAATTATTTCATTCTCCTCTTTCCATATTTCATCTATTGAGCGCTGACTATTATCAGTAACATGAGCGTAAATGAAAATATCTTGCAAAATACAGTCAATATGTCGCTGTATTGGATCTCTTATCAGCTCAAGCATCATACAAACACCTGGAATGATGTTAATTAACACGGAAATCACATTTGAATCCAACTTTAGCTTATTATACCGTTTAATCAACTGTATATCTCCTGTAGGTAGAAGACCCATAATTAACTCATCAGCTACATCTTCTTTCACATCACTTCCCAGCTTCAAATCGGACAAAAAACGACCAAGCTGCAGTAACTCCCATCTTTTGAGGTTAACACCGTTTCTTGTAGGAAAACCATTGTAGAAAGTTCGAATATCGACACGAGTACAACATATTTCAGAATCATCATCTCTTCCAAAAGACACAGTAAGCTTATGATCAAGACTCAAAGAAATAGGTTTAATAGAATCCCAAGTAATTGAAGGCATATTTATTGAAATGTAAATCACTGCTTTGTTGTCAACACAACAAGAAAATATTCTTAACTGAAGATCTTAGTTTTCTTTTGGTGCATTTATATATTTTGCTAAGCTCTTAAAAAACTTTTGAGATATCTCACTCAATTGTTTTCGACTCCTCACTCCAGTTACAATATATGATCCTTTTGGATAGTAAGTTACGCAGACTTTATTATCTTTCCAATATATTGCAGGATATATTTCCGGCTCGTAAGAGACGTTGCGGTTATTCTGGACAAATTTAAAAACATCAACATGTAAATTTAGGGCTCCCGAAGCGGTCATATTAACAACATTAACAAAACTTGGTCGGTCACTTGGGAATGTTTGTTTTATGAAATGTTTAGCATTTTGCACCGAGGTGAATCCTGTTGCAATGATTTTGCCGGATTCAAACACTAGTAAACTTTTCTTGTTGTCTTTAATAACATCTGCATTGAATCTTTTGCTTGTCTTACCAGATTTACCTTTGATTTCAACTCTTCTTCCTAAATCCCAAAGCGAAACAATATTAACAATTTTAGGGAAACCTTGAAGTTTGAAATTCATAATGGACGTGTGTGTGTGTGTGAGTTAGAGATCAAAGTACAAATGAGAGAAATCATCTGCTAGTAACTCTTTTATACTGAATGATCTTACACATAAGGTGAAATAAATTGGTTTAAAGATAAGTGGGAATAAGGCTGCATTGCTATAGCTTAAAGAATAACATTAAATCAAAGCTAATCAGTTATTCTATCTGTTAATTGTTTGGATCTGAGCTCAATCATCTTCAAAAATTTGCAAAGATAGATTTAATTACCCTAAAGACAACCTCGAATTAGACAGAAAATAAGATCCTTACTTATTTATTATGTGTGTTTTCAGTTCCAAGCCAAAAAACCAATCTTGCGCATCTGGATATTGCAAAATTTAGTATAAAAAGGCTTATTTTATTGAATTTAACTCATTCACAATTCGGCAATCATGGAGCAAGTTAATGCTTTGTTTTGTTTAAGACCTGCAAAAAAACAGGCAATTTTACATGATATGAAAACTTATTATCTGTTCAAGTATGAAAATTTGAATCATCTTTATCATAGTATTGTTCGTTTCAAAAAAGAAGGTGTTATAGCTTTCAACACTCCTGAAGCTGGTGCTTTTCTCAAAGAAATGAAGATTGAATCAATAGATCTAAAAGATTTTGGTTTCAAAATGGAAATTGATATGGACGATGAGATTAACAAAATGCTTCTCTTTGTGAAGGATCATCAACCAAGAACCTGCAACTGTGGATTGCTTCGATGGACTCCTAAAAAATTTTTATCCGCTTGACCGCTCAATCAAGTTTATGTGCTAACTTGGCTACATTGCAAAACTGATCGAGTGATTTTTAGCAGTTTTTTGAAGAAATTTTTGTTTCTTGATAGAGTACATGTGGAAGTTTTGTTCGACTTTGCTTTGTTTCCTCTGCAGATGAGATCTGAATAATGGCAGATACTCAAAGTCCAAAAACGTGGTGTATTTCAGAGAATGCAATCTTTTCTGTTATTTCTTCAAAATCATGCAGTTGCAAAATTTCTCTCGCTGATGGAAAATCGTGGTGGAGAATGCGAAACCTACTATTGTACGCGAAGCAAGTGTCAGTAAAGGCAGCATTTTGTCAGAGTGGTTTTTTTTCATTTATTTTAATTATTTAAGATAAATCAGGAAAAATCATTTTGACAAAATTCTGCCTTTATTGACTCTTACTTTGAATACAAATGTAGCATTATTCGCCTGATCTACTATACTATTCAACAAGATAGTGAATGAAAGAACTTTGATTTTGAAGAAATAACATAGAAGATTTTCATTCCCCGAAAAATATCACTATTTGGACTTTGACCAACTGACATTATACTGGTCTCATCTGCCAGAAGAAACTATGCATTGTTGAACAAAACTTTCACATCATCTCAATCAAATTGAACCGAAAATTTCTCGTTAAATTGTTTCTAATTCTGTTATTTGCTTCTTTTGTTAAAACTGTTTCTTTTCCGAATAAATATTGTGCTTACTCTGCACATGAAGAAATAATTGCTTAAAATATTTCATTTCATTTCATTTATCTCACAATTAACTGAGTTCATTTTTGTCGCGTTTTAAACGATATCTTTATAAAGAATACATTTCCAAATTGGTGCATCCAAACAAATTTTTTACAATTTTTACCATGCATTCTCTCTGAATAGCGATACAGTAGAGAAATATAAAAGTCAAAAAACTGATTTGACCTACCAGACTTCAGAAAAAATATCAAAAAAAAAAGATAGAGAATACATTTCGAAACTTATAAATCGAAAAAACAAAACTTGAAAATTTTTTTTTTCAAGTTTTGTTTCCTTACTGTATCGTCACCCATAGAGAATGCATGGTAAAACTTAGAAACAAAAATTTTTTTTGGATTTACAAGTTTTGACATGTATTTTCTAACTGAATTTCCAATACATAATTTTTTTGTGGTTTTTCATGACGAATGTCGCTGGTCCTGGTGCTGAGACCTGTTTCACAGAAGCGGCAAGTATAACCTCGAACCCAGTCACGTCTTCTTCATCAAAGGCTTTGACCAAGTTGAAGTCTTCTGGGAGCAAATCGAGACTCTTTCTATTGTAAATAAATATTTTGCTCACTATGCATATGAATAAATAATTGATAAAAATATTTAATTTCATCTATCTCACGATTAACTGATTTCATTTTTTCGCGTTTTAGTCGATATCCTTAATCTCGCAAATCCAACATAAACTATTGAAATGTCTAATCTAGCGAGATCAGCCCGGGCGTTTAATTTTACTTATTCTTTAATTAATTTGTTTTTTCATTTAGCTCTTAAACTTGTTGAGTGCTGAAACCGCATCAAGGTTTAATTTTCTTTCTTTTTATTGAGCCTTCACTTTGTGCTCGAAGCGTATGGTCTCTTTTGTGCTGGAAGCGTATGGTTTCCAACTACTAATGTTTGTTATTTCGTTGCAAAAAGATGAAAATTTTGTATTCTCACGAGCATTTTATTTACCAAATTATTCATCATTCTCTGATTACTATTAGCACTTGATGATGATCAACTCAATTCCATGAGGGAAGCAATAACAATCCTTCTCATTGTCAATTTGTTAAATGAAAAGGGAACAATGAATTTCAATGGAAATGAAAAGAGTTTTAAAGCTTAATAAGCATTTTAAACTATTCCAAAGTAAAGTTACTGTTGAAGAATGCTACTTGTGTTGATGTTCCGTCGATTGATATTGATTGTATGAAAACAATTGCCTAGCGAAACTAAGTATCGCTAATGGAGCAACTTCAATAAAGAGCTTTTATTGCAGCGAACTTGCGAATTCGCAAAAAACACCAAGAAAAAATCGTATAAGACAGTCGATTCTAAACCTAAATTGCGTTTCTTGGAATCATGTAAACCTTCTTTTCTAAACTGAATAGAATTCAAATGGCAACGTCACTCGCGTCCGGCAAATCTTATGAATTGAAAAAGTCTGAAGCCAACTCGGTTCCAATTGTTGAATAATCAAATTGAATGAAACGCTGAATCAATCAGCAAGACTGAAACTGTTGAGGAAAGAAATAAAAATGACGGAACAAAATTTGCCTACAATTGGATCAATTCACAAGTCATCTATAAAAAGCTAATTAAACCATCAATCAAGTGAAGTGAAAGAGTGAATTAGTCTGCCTTTTCCCTCATCCAATCCTTTCATCTTTTCCCTCTTCATTTATTGTAATAACATTAATACTAATAATACATTTCTTGATTCTTGGGAGGGATAATTTTTACCTCCCTGTGTGTGCATTTTTTATTTTTCTTTGCACTTGCAGGCTTTTACAAGTACAAAGATGATAATAGAGAGTATAACGATGATGATGATAA